CAATGTTTTCTGCAATGTTTAAGATTAAATGAGTTTTTAGCTTTTATTTTTATTGCAGAGACATTTCATAAAATTGCTTTAATATTAGTACAATTGTAGCACCACTAGTTTGGAAGTAATAATAGTTTTCGGACCATTTTGAGTAGAATGTCTTCAAACTTCATTTACACTTTTTCTACTTGTACTAAATACATTGAGTAATTAGACACGAACAACAGCTTGATGAGTTCTTTTATTTTTCAAAAAGCACACAAATGTATTTTTATACATATTTCTCATCGTTAATATTTTCTTTGTCATTCCTTTAAACTATATAGTATTTATATATTCAGGAGTTACAAATAATTTCTTATTTACAAAATTTATCAAACACTGCAAAGGTTTCGGTGAAAATAAGCTCAAATTTGTGCATTTTCTGATATGCTCAATCAACATTTTCTCAAACGACATTTTTCCATAAAAAGTATCATGTAAAAACAAGTTTTACTCTTCTTAAAGTCGTCTTTCATTTCAACTATTAGGAGAATGAAGAACTGAGAAAGTGTGAAAAAATGTATTTTAGGCGCCGTTATGTAACAACTTGAAAGAGGGTGGCGAAAAGGTATCCCAGACTAAACCAATTAGAAAACTCACTAGTTCGAGAACGAGAGAGTCTTTACCATTCCGTTGAACCTCAACGTTTTTGCGTGGAATGACTTAACTGTCATTCAACTCTTAGTAAATGATGTTTTTTTCTATTTCGTAATACTCTTATTTCCTTCCTAATATCATACGTAATCAATGCATAACATAGCAACAAATTAGGTTCGAGCAAAGTTTTATGAGGTCTATAAGTAAGCTAGAATAATTTCCTGGCATCCTCCATTCGTAATGCTCCCAGACACACAAGGGGCTCACTTTCCAATTCAGTTCTGTGGAACATCCCTCCATTTAATTCCAATGAGGGTGGATGTTAATACGGCAAAAATTTCAACAGTGTGCAAATGTCGGCGGTCCACCGTGTTTGTTCTGAGCTATTGACTTTGCCCGAATGTTTGGCGAAGCCAAACTGCGCTCCACGTGGCGCGCGGGAGAACTAGGGCTGCGTAGAGGGTGGTAGGACGGCGAGGACAACCACGACTGGTCTAATGAGGGATCGATTAGAGGGCGAATGGAAAGGGATGTTTAATAGCGATATTGCTTTTCTTTCTACGTATTCTTACTACCCACCCTACCGAGATCCTTACTTGCGTTGTAAAGAGAAAGTATTGTAATGCTGCGGCAGAAATTGGGGATATTTTGAACAGAAGAAAATCGTATAATGAGGTAACTGTACCAAAAGATTAGGTATATCTTGTTCTCGTTTGTAGCACTTTACTTCTTCTAAGACGTTATCTATTTAGAGTCCTCCATTGGTGGAACTTTGATACTGAAAATTCGATAGACGAACAGTCAAACAGACTTCTGCCGTCAGTGGTCACAACTAACCCCTAAACTGTTCAGTCGAATTTTTTCAAAATTGATATTTTCTAATTTATCTAAACAAACTCGTAGCCTAACTAGTTTGAGACGGATATTTTAATTTTTTGAGGGTAATTTTAATGAGGCATCATTCACATTTTCAAAATTATCTTATTAATTTTTTTAAACCTTTTCCATGGAGGGTGCAAAGAGTGCTTAAAAATGTCGCAAGTCTCATTATAGATGAAATCTCCGAATTTTCGAAAGCTGCTTATTTCAAAAAGTAATATCTGTTCGGCAGATTCCTACAAGTAAATTTGAAGTTCAATATTTCTTTCTTGATGAATGTGATTCAAAAAGATATCTTTGATTACGCCAGGTACAATTTTTTGAAAATGTGTCTAGTTTTTTTGTATTTTCTGGTTGAAATTTAGGCAACTTTTAAACAATTATTTTCTCCCGCCTAGAGCAAAGAACAGTATAGGAACTATCGCAAGTTCTATTTTCGGCGAATTCGCAGCATTTTAAAAATTACATTTAAAGGTAAACATCCAATATAGATAATCTACATTATTCTTATAAAATCTGCTCGAAAAACAAATACGATCGTCTTCCCCCCCCCTTTTTTTGTTGAAAAACGACTAGAGTTTGGGTAATTTCTCCTTTAAGTTAATTCAATTTATTAAAAACGACTCCAATTTATTACTATATTTTTCTCAGGAATAGAGCAAAAATGGCATAGCCCTCATTTTCGTTGAACATTTTGAATATTCAAAAATTGCATGTTATCAATAGTACTAAAAAGTATGTACTGCTGTAGCATCAGTTTTGTTAGCGTAGCAGCTTGGGTCTAACTGATGAAAGATGCAATCTTCTAGATTGAAAGATTATACTCGTAGAAATTACACTAATAAAACGCCGGTCTCAAGTGTTAAAGGGACTAGTGAGCGAAAACTCCACGGTGTGCTATGTCATGCTTGAGATGCTTAAAAATGTCCTTGGGAAGCGAATGTCCAATTCCCGTCCTTATCATAACCCGTAATCAGTTGGCGATGACAGGAATAGATAAATGTGCATGGTAGTTGTGTCGTGACGCTCAACAGGAAAAAAATCCGGCGCTAGGTTCTAATAGCCAAGTGACCTGTTCTTTGATACTATAACAACAATAAACCAAAATATTGCTGGCTAGGGTCGTATCCTTGATGAAATGTCTGACACTACCTCGATGTTACACTTTATCCTACGATACATTAGTTGATGAAATGGTGAATAATTATTTAGATGCAAAGTATGTGGATGAGTTGATTATAGAAATGAGAAAAGAGGAGCTGGGACTTCTCCCTTTGCTTATCGTTTTCATTTACGAATACTGTACTAAATTATTTGTGTCTTAACTATCGTTTTGGCTACGCAATCGTATAGATTTCGCAACAGTCCAAAGTAGAACTTTGAGAAAATTATATTGATGAAATAATGAATTACATTTTATGTGTCATACTTAATATATTATTAAGTGTAATTAGAGGTCGATTGAAAGGGCAAACAGAAAGGGAAAGCTGAAAGCTAGATCTTTATGTGTCGGTCAAGATTGTTCTTCCTCCTAGGCTTCCCAACATGTTTTGGTTTTATTCATCTTCCGACTAAACGTTTAGCGATTCTACCCTATATAATATTTTTAATATTCTCATTAGTCTTTCATGGATATTTCTCTGTATGATATTGGTGCCGAATCATTTGTAGCCCTAGTACTCCTAAACTTACGTGGTTTGGCATTACCGGAAGAATTAATAATGTAGGTGATAAATTAGTAGAGTTATAATTTAGATTAGAAACGTGAGTGAGTTTAAATGGTAATAGATATGATACGTGTCACGAGAGAAGGGGGAGGAGATGTTTACTGTTTCTTTTGACTACTCTTTCGATCTACTTTTGTATTTCTGTATCTTGGGACTAAATATTTAGAGATTCAATGAATCGTACAGCAACTCTTATAATGCTATATTTTGTCGGAATGTTGGCGATTAAGTACCAGTTAAACGATTCTTGATTTCACCTGGTCGGACGATATTAAATGGCACTATGGGACACGTCGCGTCGAAAGAGCCACTAAAGAGGATTGCTAATGCTATATCTTCATTTAAGAGTTCATAATGCGAACGCGTAAGTCTGTAGAAGATTCGTATTTCAAAATCGGAGTAATAGAAGGGTAAAAATTAACGATTTTGCGTACTTATTTGTTGATTGACCCCTTACACTTCCATTAAAACAGTGAGGCCCTTCAACGACGCTCGTGATTGGATGACAGTGTCCCCCTCTCTTGCCAACCCGTGACCTTGAAGAGACTTCCTGTTTTAATAAGACTATAGTACTTCGATGCATTTGCGACGTAGAAATGAAATTATAGTGGTATTCTCCAACACAAAAACAGTCAAATAGTTTTCTTTTACAGACATTATTACGCTATTGGTTTCAAAGAATGCTTCGAGTATTTTAGTTGAAAACATGAAAAACCAAGATAGATCGAGTTAAAGTAATACATTAAAACCTCTAGAATAAAATAGTGAAATATGTCACCAATCAACCTCACTAAGTTCATATTTAAAAAACTCTATACATTAAAATGGTTATTACTACATTTTGGGGGTCAAATAAATCTTCATAAGAGTTTCCAGTTTTTCCTTCCGTCGTTTATGAACACATTTTTCTTTCAACTAATGCAATCACATCCTTGAGTAAGATCAAATGTAAGATGAAATGTAATCAATTACGTAATAGAAGTTATGCAAACGGGACAGTGAGATAATTTCACGGATTTAACAGAAATTATCGTAAAATTATTCACTCCTCAACAACATGATATTTATTCCTTTAGAGGAATTGTTTTGGTTGTACATGGTAAACCTATCTCGCAACTTGTTGCTTTGTATGGCAGACACTCTTACAATTTTTAAATTGACACTCGCATAACATAGTGCAATATTTTTCACAAACCTCACGAAACGTCTGATGTTCCACAAGGAATTATTGTACGACATACATCTACCAGCGGTTGATTCACCTGTGTTTTTACAATCCTTGAAACATTCCACGCTAATATATATTACACTACGCTAAAACAGAGGAACCGCAGACCATGTACAAGTGACACCAAAACTTTTAAAAAGTGCTCAACGCCTAGATGCTAATGAAAAATTAATCAAGGTCCCTAAGTTTAAACATTTAATTTTCTGCAGACTATACCAAAGCAAAACAGTAAGCTTCATATCAGTTGTCCTTGCATTTACTTCGTGAAAAATTAAAATGCTTATTCATAGTCACTAACTGTGATTTAAATTGAAACAGTAAGGTGAATAGAATCGCAAAATGGTTAGGAGATCTTTACTGCACAATGAGAATCATCAAGAACTTATGGCATTGATGAAAAGAGAACTAACTTCGCAGTTGGGCATTTTTTTTTCTAAAATAAGAGCCAATAACATCTCATTAGTTTACAACGTCAACGTCTCTTTAGTTCAATCACAGTCTGGAAAAGCGGGAAAAACGAAAAGAACGGATCTTACCTGCATGTAAAGGACGATCTTGCAGCCGACGGTGCCCATGAACCACGTCTCCGTCACGTCCCACAGCACGGTGGGCGGCAGGCAGAAGAGGATCACCATGAAGTCCGCCAGCGCCAGGTTGACGATGAAGTAGTTGGTGACGGTGCGCATCGAGTGGTTGCGGTACACCGCCACGCACACCAGCGCGTTCCCAATCAGCCCCACGATGAACACGAGCGAGTGCATGGCGATCAGCCCCCACTCGTAGTGCAGCGGGTACACGTGCTGCAGCACGATGTCGTAGTACTCCGCCGTGGGCACGCAGTAGTCGTTGGTGCAGTTGAGCGTGTCGTTGAAGTCGTCGTAGGCGGGCATGAGCAGCGGGTCGTCGCCGTCGTCGTCGCCGCCGCCGGTGACGACGGTGGGGACGGCGGTGCCGCCGGTCAGAGAGTCGTTAGGCGCGCCGGTGTAGTTGTCCGGCGGCGGTAGGAAGGCGGGTTGCGGGTCCGACGCCGGGGAGGGTGGGCCCGCGGGCGGGGGAGGGGCCGTCGCCAGGAAGAGGATGGTGGCGAGGAACGCCGTCTCCGTAGCGTTGAGCGCCGCGAGGGCCGATGCCATGGTGCGGGTTGGTGGCGAAGGCAGGGCCACGAGCGTGTCAGAGCTCTCACCGCTTTGGGGGTGGCTCTGCTGGAGTCAGCGGGGGACCAGCTCTGCACCCAGGAACTATGTTCGGCGCACCCGGGTTGTTTCAATCATGCGCACCCAGCACGGTCATCGGTTGCGCGCTTCCAACGCCGATCCGCTCACCTGGTTCGGTCTTGCGGTGCGCTCGATTTTCAATCAAACGCACCCGGCTCAATCATTAGTCCCGCCCACCTTTCGAGATGCTGCGTCCCTCTCCTTCTGCGCGCACCCGGTTCGATTTGTAAATACGCGTCCCCAGCTCACACTTTGTGCGCACCAGTCTTCATTATCAGTTACGCGCACCAAATTCAAATGTACTGTTGGGCGCGCCCAAACGGTGTTGTTTTCAAAACAGTTTGGTCCTCTGTTGCGCGTTCCCGATTCGATTTTCAATTGCCTACGTACAGTTCAGTACTCCAACTCGGTCCCCTGTTGCGCGCACACAACTCGATCGTCAGATGTTCACTCACA